ATTTATATTTCTTTTAAAACAATTTTGACGATACAAAAGAATATATCTCCAATAATGGATCTGGGGCTAGTACGAAAATGAGGAAAAATTGGGCAATTGAAGAAACTTTTATTCTTTAATCAAATGCCTATGGGATGAATTAATGTTAGGATATGATTCTTTCATTTTCACGAGTTATGAGCATAACTTATGTTGAAAACCAATCAGATCTTGGAATAGAGGATGGTAGAGAAGGTGCAATAATGGGAGATAGGAAATTTGAAGAATCGCCCATAGTTACAAGGTTTGATATTTGTGATTTGGATTTGTTTAATTTTTTTTAATTTTAAGGTTGAGGCAATTGTTTTGGTTTTTAATCCTTTTCTCTAAGTCCTTAGAAGTCTTTTCATAAATGGGTAAATTTATCTTTAAAATTTTAAAGATAAGGTGGGTGGGAAAATAGGACAGGTGGGTGAAAATATTAGCACTCTTATTAAATTATATTTGTTTTAAAGAAAAATAATACATAATATTTTTATACTTATTTCTTAAATTCAAGTTTATTTTTTTTCCTCTAATAATGTGTACTAGCCCCTTGGCACATGCGTAAGAATAAAGAAAAGATAATATGGGTAGTTATGTTCCATAAACGTACAGTGGCGGATCCAGGAATTTTTCAGGAAAGGGGCAATTTTAAAAGGCTAAAAGCTCAACAACAACAAAATTTAGAGAATCAAATATCCTTCAAATTTAAACAGTACTAATGTCATTAATAATTCATGAAAAAAAATAATATTACAAAATGCATATTACTTTATTAATTAGATAATCAAATTGTAATTGATCATACCTTGAGCTGTGCACTACGCAACCTCTTCTTCTCTCTCGAGTTTGCTAATGATTATACAAATATAGAGACAACCAAATCAGAAAATATATATATGAAAAAAAAACATATTATGAAAAAGAAAAAGAGAGGGAAAAAAAACATAAGAAAGAAAAAAATAGAAGAGAACAACAACATAAGCAAAAAAATCCCAAACCTTGAAAAAGGATTGGGTCTGAATCTGATTGCTGCAAGAGAGACTTCAACAAACAGAGCTTATAGTTTTGAATTGAATTGCTCCTCTCCGCTCTTTATTAATAGGGTTTATATATAATATGCTATACTGATTCCGTATTGGGTAAGGCCTTGGGCACCTTTTTTGTTTTTTTTTTTTACCTAGTCCAAAACGACGTCGTTTTGGGCTAGGACTTTTAAAAAAAAACAGAGCACGCGCTGTGCGCACAACACAGCAGCGCAACAAACACAAAGGCACATCAAGCTCATCAAATAGAAAGGAGTTTCACTCAGGCAAAAACACAAACAGTTGGTGGGCAAACCAGAGGAGCAAAGTGCGCCACCACCGCAGTGTTTTCCGGTGATGGGAGGTGCAACCGCACCTCCTTGCGCCTCTGTGGGTCCGCCACTGTAAACGTATGACCTATTATCTGATTTTGTTTTTATTTTTATTTTTTTAATATAAAAAAATATGAATTTACTATATTGTCCTCATTTAATTAATAATTTCAATTCTTAATGTTTTAATTAACCAAAGGCATTTTCTAGTATTTTGAATGTTTCGTCATTCTCTGCCTTTTGCTTTATAAATAAAATAATAATTTTTTAAAAAAAGTTTCAATTATATTTAAATCTACTTCAAATAAAGTTATTGACATTTTTTTTCAACAAATAATAAATCTTGTTAGTATATTCACAATTTAACTCTGAGAAAAATTCTACTTCTAAACTTCTCATAAATAGGTGTTACTTCAAATTTCTATTATAATTTAACTAAGTCAAAATTGAAATTATGATTTCGAGTTCGCCACTTGAGCAACAGAGCCCACTTGTTACCCCTCCACCCCTCAATAACTACTAGACTTTCTCACCCTAACACTAAGACATGCATTCGTGCTCCCAAGGCCTCAGACTCCGCCATAACCATGAGGCCAAAATAGCGACATTTTGGGGCAACCTAGTGACCCCCTGATATGACCTAGTGATCACCAGACCCAACTCAAACTTGACCTGATGATCCCTAGGCTTGACCTAATGACCAACAAATCCAACCTTATGACCAGTGAATTTATCAAGCTCAAGGAGAATCACTAAGCACAACAAACATGTGATGGTTCATTCACTGCCAAAGTCGAAGGCTATCCACCACGTGGCACTAATCGTGGTCCTGACGTACTCAAGATCAAGCCGCACTGCCCTTGACCAAATCTCAGATTCCGATTAAAGATCAAGCGGCTTGCCACCCTTGAATCATACACTCTTGGAAATCAAATCAAATCAAATCAAATGGTTTTCTTTGTAACAAATACCCACATAGATTGTAACCTTAAAATTCAATCAATACAAATATTTATTTTATACATGTATTTCGTCTCATTTGTAGCATGAACTTTCGTGTTTACAACATGCATCTCGTAATTTTCATAACGACGCGCACAAATAAAAAAGCGTCGTCTTATTAAAAAGGTTTTCTTCAGAGTTAAAATCTGACCAAAAAACAACGACAGCAGGTATGACAAGCGTCGTCTTTTAAAAATCAAGTGTCCTTTTTTTGGTAAAGATATGGTTGTTTTGAAAGAACTGTTGTCTATTATATGTAAAGATGACGGTTTTTTTTTTTTAAAAAGGGTCGTCTATTATGAAGTAAAGATGACGGTTTTTTTAAAAAAAGGATCGTCTATTATGAAGTAAAGATGACGGTTTTTTTTAAAAATGGTCGTCTATTATATGTAAAGATGACGATTTTTATACAAACCGTCGTCTATTATATGTAAACATGACGCTTTTTATAAAAAAACCGTCGTCTATTATAGGTAAAGATGACGATTTTTATACAAACCGTCGTCTATTATATATAAATATGGCGCTTTTTATAAAACCGTCGTCTATTATATGTAAACATGACGCTTTTTATAAAAAAAACCGTAGTCTATTATATGTAAAGATGACGATTTTATACAAACCGTCGTCTATTATATATATAAAGATGACGCTTTTTATAAAAAACCGTCGTCTATTATATGTAAAGATGACGCTTTTCATAAAAAACCGTCGTCTATTATGAAGTAAAGATGACGGTTTTTTTTAAAAAGGGTCGTCTATTATATGTAAAGATGATGGTTTGTTTAAAAAAGGGTCGTCTATTTTATGTAAAGATGATGGTTTGTTAAAATAACCGTTAAATGATTATTTTTCATTTATAACCGTCGAAATTTTTTGTCCCGTTACTTGATCTCTGAATGTTTATTTTTTCCGATTTTTGGTGTATATGATCTTGAAGTATAAACAAACAAGTTTGACGGTTGGATCGTTGAAACTAGTTTTTTAGAATGCGTATGCCATCAAAACAATATATTCACTAACAATTAAGAGT